ACCTGTTGATTAGCTCCAAAAAGCCGTAAGTGGACACTGTCCTGTCTGCCTTATGCAGACATCTCTCAGCTTTAGCTAGCACGTAGACACAGTTATCCCTTTAGGACAGTGTCTTACACCTTACGTCATTTCCCAAACAGGAGCCAGTCATAATAACACAAGCACTTTTTATACTGGTAAAATGTATCCAGATTAGGGATATTTTGCCATGTTACATATTGGTATAGTTAAAATGCAATTTTTTCTAGTGTTATAAAAAGCCCATAAACTATAATATTACAATGAAAAAGTCTGGCTAAGTTAGGACTAAAGTAATGTGAGAAAAACACATTGCCTTGATTTTATGCATATGTTCCATTTACAAGAGTACAAAAATAGAGTTGTCTAGAAACAGGTTCAATCTAACTGTAAAAAAGCATGAATTGTTAAAAAGCATAAACTCCCCACCCACCAACAAATGTCTTAGGTACCCTGGAGAAATATTGTTGCCTTGCAATGTGCTCAGAGGTTAATGTATTTGTGCTTTGGCAGGGTGAGGAGATAGAGGAAAATACCTCTCAAAATTGGTTGAGAGCTGAAAGATGTGGTTTAGCATGCAAATAGTGTGATGGCTGTAAAAGCTTGGACAGTGCCTCTTGCACAAAAATGTAAGACAGTGGTTGGGGCATGACTGGATTGTGGTGACAAGTCTGCCACAAGAAAAATCAAGTCTCCACTACAGTTGCAACCCATTAGGCATAAAGAAAGTGAAGCTTGGGGAACCTAATACCAGACCCATGCCATAAAATAATAAGAGTGATGAAAATGAAAATTGTTGGCAGAGACCTGACACACTCATTACATGTGTATATCCAAGCTAAGAAAGCAGGAGAGGCTGAGCTAGCATAACTAGAGAAGGCAAGGAAACTACATATACGTTTCAATTGAACTGGCAACTAAAGAAGACAAAAGACTAAATATACATTTCAAACAAAACCTGTAAAAGGTGCACTGAATACAGGAAAGATGCCTTGTACCTGACAAATGCATGCCTTGCTAAAGGCAGACAAGATTCCTTGGGTGAATCTGATATCTTTTATTAGACCAACCCAAATGGTTGGAGAATAGTTATTAAGCAAACTTTCGCATTCAAAAACACTTCGTCAGGCTAAGGAAGTTTCAGCAGTTGGTGTGTGCACACACCAACTGCTGAAACTTCCTTAGCCTGATGTGTGGGGGCCGAGGAGGAATTGAGGATCAGGAACCCTCGGGAACGCTAGCTGGGGTTGCGGCTGCGATCCCGTGACGGGCAGATGGGTATTCTCTATCACCGGAGCGGAATTAGGCACAGACGAGACACGTATCAATTGGAAAAACAGAGATGGCTTTACTTACACTGTAGAGTCATATACAGCGCAGGCAAGAAGTGACTTCACACTTCAATCGTAGTTGCAACAATTCTAATCTCTAGTCGCTAATCGAGGAGCTCTTGTAGACCGGGTAGCTTGGGTCTAACTTGGGCATGCAACACGGAAGATACGTCGTAAGGCTTCATCGACGGGGAGTCATTAGCAGGTGATCAAGCTGCCGGAGTTCCACTCCAGGGGGAATCGCGGAGTTCTCCAACTAGGGCGGAAACGCCCCTAACCATTTATACAGCTAGTGAGCCAATTGCCAGCCGCCACGTGGGAATAATTTAACATCGGCCAATCGTGTTATGCAAATCTGCATTTCCTCGGCGGGAACTCTATCCCCGCTGGAACTCTTCACCATGCCGAGAATTCCCCTGCCTTACCGTGCCTTGTGCTGGAAAGTTCCACTGTGTCAAAGCACTGATCCAAATCAGCTCTGACATGATGAAGGGTTTTTGAACCAAAAAGCTTGCTTAATAACTATTCTCCAACCATTTGGGTTGGTCTAATAAAAGATATCAGATTCACCCAAGGAACCTTGTCTGCCTATGTCCTTAGACCAACACAGCTACAACCTACACCCCTGCCTTGCTAAACGCATCTTCATATTTCTCAAAACAGGCATCCACTGTCTAGGGTGTTACAAATATCTCAATCATTCAATGTCTGTCTGGAGTTTTGTAAATAGATCATCACCAGTACCAGCTATTGCACATTTGCCCCATTATTAAACAAATACCCAAAGACAGGTCCAGCAACCAATGCTTCTAGGTATCCTGTTCAGCCACTCAAGACCCATCACATTTAATTGCTGAGCTAGTCAGTAGCTGCAAGAAACATAAGTCTTCACACCTGAACAAATCCAAAAACAGGAGCCAGGCAATTTAACAATTGTAATGTGATGGGCATCCTTTTCCTCCCTGTTTTGTTGAGACTTTAATTGGCCAGCCATCAAGGAAAAATGCTTTGAAGCTATACACTTAAAACAGTATAAAAAGCAAGACAGAACTCCTAGCATGGTGTCCAGTTCAGGGAAGATCAAGAAGCCATCTTGCACCCAACACACAAGTGAAGGGCCCACATTCTGTTGAAGCTGTAAAGAAAGAACTGCTTCCTGTCTGCTTGGGTAAAAATCTCTTGCTGCAAAAATAATACGAAGACTGTAATAGCTCATGCATTGAATATTAAGAGAGAGTCTTTTTCTGTCATTTAGTTTTATAGCTTGTTGGTAGTTATTAAAGCAAGCCTTTCTGCTATTCATCAACCAAGTGTTGTGTCAATTCTTAAAGCACTAGGTTTAAAAATCCACTTTAACTGCAACACAGTGCTCATTGGGGAGTGACACCAGGCCTCTGGAGGAAACTGGTTTTGATTTCAGCAAATCAGGACCACTGGAATATCCTGTGCCCTTCACATTTGTGGGAGTGTATGCACACCTTACTTAGCTGTACAATAAGGCCCTGATTTTTAAAGGGACTTAGGTATTTCATTGCCCAGATGGTAGAAGCATGAACAGATTGCTATGATGCAAAGGAGGCTGGGACATCTCCTGGCATCAGCTGCTTTACAGCAATTCCCCACAAACCTGTCCTTGCCTCTTAGTAAATGAAAGCTAAGCTTTCATATTACCATAACTTTTACTTGCCATAGGGGGAAAGCCTGCATGTAAGGTGTTACTATGGAGCAGCTGGGGTGCAGCAAAGCCCTACCCTCTTTTGCCTTAGGATGACATAGAATAATTTAAAATGAGGGTTAAAAGGGACCTCAGGAGGGCACCTAGTCCAACCCCCTGCTCAAAGCTGGACCCAACTAGAGCATCCATTGGTGGGTTCAGATTTATTGGGGCCCTGCGCAAACAAAAAATTGGAGGCCCTCCACACCCCGTTATAAACATGAATGTATCAAAAAGCATTAATAAGTAGACACATTAAATGTTTACATGGTGCATTAATAAATAAAGCACAACATGTGATGTTGAAATTAACTGCTCAGTTTTGCCACACACAATACTGCATAAAACAACTGCTTTAGGAAAATAACTCAGATGCATGGGATCACCATAAATGTAAAATAACCTGAAAGGAAAGATGTTTTAGTATAGTGGTCGTGTAGACTCTTGACTATTTTTTTTTTTAAATATACATTTTACATTGTACCTACGCTATGGTAAACTACTACAAAAAAAATACAGGTCATAGCTATAGACTTGAGTATAAGTCTAAGAATACCATTAGAGATTCTTGCAATTAAAGTAAAGCGGTAGGCCTACACAATACATCTCAATGTTTTTTTAATCATTCCTGAAACTTTAAACATGTGCTAAACATCATATGCTGTAAAGCTTTTTTTTTTTATATTACATCTGTGTTTTAATGCTACCATTGCATACTTATGTAACCAGAATGTATAAATATATTGATATATACATACACACACACACGTGTGTGTGTGTCTCTCTATACCTGTATCTCTCTCTATATAGATATCTATATAGATGTATGCATAAACACAAACACACACATACACAGTATTTTTCTTTATATATAATGTATCTCTCCAGACAGACAGACAGACAGGTCTATATCTAATCACCCCTTGGAAGAGCTCACAC